ACTATACTGGCAACCTTGTATAGCAACGAGAAATGAGCCGAGCCGGTTTTACGGAAAAAATCAAATCGCCGTTGGTTTCTAGGGGACAACCGTCACTAACGGCTCGGGTAAGCGGTGCCAACTTTGTGTTTACATGGAGGTCTCATAAGATATTTAGGTTGCTATGGCTGGTACGTGCGTTGGGTAGTTGCAGCATAAGTTTCGTATCTAGTCATCTTTGTCGTGGTCGCGCAGTAACTAACTTCGTTCTTAATCAGTTTGTTCGTTAGTTCAAATTTATGTTCGGGTTTACGTGTTGTCAGTATCAGTGCTGTATTCGTCCGTCAAAGTTACTTTATAATGTCCTAATATCCTGTTCACACGTTCCCACATATATTCTCAAGGTGTTGTGAAATTAGTAAAACAGTAAAAAAAAAATTCATTCTGTGAGTCCCATCTAACCCCTTAAGCTCAGTAGACTCTAAGCATTGGGCTCCAGATAAACTCTTTGTGTACTAAATGAGTATGCTCCGACCTTGTAGCCTTGTGTGCGTCGCCACAGTTTTTCATAAACTTTTTGTACACACACATTTCGAGCTGTCTTTTTCTTCTGCCTGCGAATGCGTTCCGCTGTCCTCCTCGAGCTTATGACTGGCTTTTTAGTAGTTGTTTCATGTAACTACATATAAAATGACTCTAGAGTAAATTTGTGCATTAAATTTACTACAAATAATTCACGCTATACCTGTAAGTAAACTATAAGACTTGGAAATACTTTAATTTCATTCAACTTACCCCTGACATTCAATAATAAAAATATTAAAAATATAGAAAATTTTATATGTACCTACTTCAAATCTTCTGGCCTTTAAAATTTTCATATGAACGCATAAGCAGCTGTATATACTGAGTCTCTACCATTCCTATTAGTTGTAGTCACACTTATCACTTTGATCGGCGAGTGGGCGTGCAAGTTTTTCGAGTGTTGCTTGATTACCCGTTCTTGCCGCTCGTTCCTATTGAATGTGAGATCAGCGGCGTTCAATGAATTAACTTTAGCTGCCTACTTGAAAACTTCAAAAACCTACTACCTACTTGCTAATTTTTTGCTTAAGAATACATCAATTTGTATGAACATAAGTGGGTACATACTTATATACTTGTAAGTAAACAAGTATGTAGGTTAAGAACCGGCATCTTCTAGCAGAACAAGTTGATCTACTTGAAAATTTTTACAAAGGTTTCTTATTATAGCTTTCTTTTGTAGATATTCTGGTGCTGCTATAATTATGTCTAATAATAGAATAACGTGCCATAACAGCCACAATAACTAATTCGAAATGGTTTTTAGTGACAGATAAAGGATTTTACAATAAGTGGTGTTATTTTCAAAAGCCGGTAGATGCCACTTTTGAAGCTGTAAGTTTTTGACATTTGACAAGTAAAAACTAAGCCAGGAATAGAAGTGGAACGATACACGCTTCAAGAACGCACTGAAATTATTAAAATTCGCTATAAAATGGCGTAAACCTGACAGAATAGTTGAAACACTTATCGATCGTCGGAAAGCACCTTGTCAGACCGCAATAGAGAAGTAGGTGGAAAACCGAAGCTGTTGGCACAAGTTAGTGATATGAAGAATAAAACACATGCGTATTGGTCAAGAATAACTAAGAATATTGCTGCTTTAACTCAAAGTGTTTAAGAAAGTCCAGGCGTGTACATTCCTCATTCTTTTTTGAAATCGGGGATTCCGCAAACGTCTACCTTGGACCGAAGCAACGTTTATCGGTGGTACAAAATGTTCTCAGAAGGCCGAGAAGATGTGCACGACAAAGAGCGTGCTGGACGCCCGAGCACTTCAACAACAGACGAAAAAATTAATGAAGTGGAGAAAAGGGTATTGCCACAGGGTAGAACGGTCAATAAGGAATATTACCTATAAGTTATGCGCAATTTGCGCGAAGCAATCCGCCAGAAACGCACGGATTTGGGGAAGAACAAAAATTGGCTTTTGCACCACAATAACGCCCCTGCTCACACATCGTTGCTTGTATGCGACTTTTTGGCCAAAAACAACACACTAATGATGCCTCAGCCACCGTGTTTCCCAGATCTGGCCCCCTGTGACTTTTTCTTGTTCCCTAAACTGAAGAGGCCCATGAAAGGACGATGTTACGCTACGATTGACGAGATAAAGACGGCATCGAAAAAGGAGCTAAAGAAGATAAAAAAAATGATTTTTTGATGTGCTTCGAAGATTGGAAAAACCGTTGGCACAAGTGTATAATATCTCATGGGGATTAATTTGAAGGGGACAAAATAGATATTCATGAATAAATAAATAATTTTTGAAAAAACACAAAATTCGCGATATTTTTTGAACACACCTCGTACAACTGAATTGCGAAATCGATTAACCCTCATTGCTATTCAGAAATAAGAGTCAAATAACACATTTTCATTATCCTTCACTCAATGCGACCATTATAAGATCAATCCTAACATATGGATCGTTGGTTTGGTGTCTAGTACTATAAAAATGTCCAGAAATGGAACAAAAAGAGCAGCCTGCGCAGAGGTTACAAGGCAAAATTCGGTTCAATTTAAAGCAAATTCGATTTTTTCGAATGGATCGGTCCCAGGCCCAGGTGGAATGCTTACGTCATACTCAGTTCACGATCAATGGTTTAGGCTGTGGGTTGATCCATCAGTAATTAAGGACAAGGAATTTTATATATATTTTTAGATTACTTTTAAAATTATCTATTACTTGGGGCTTGTAGGGGCTTGACATTAACAAAAATAATAATAATATATAGTGAGCTGAGTATGACGAAAATTTAAGCAATTATTAAATGGTCCGTCTATGTTGGACAAGCATTGACAAAGAACAGCCCTGATGATTGCTGTGATTTATTAAAAGGTATTATAATATTACCTACTCTGGCGGAACGAGTAAACGATAGCTTGGAAAAAAGATAGCTGGGAGATTGAGTCATAATGAGTTTGCAAAGAAAAATACAATTTCTGGCTTTATGAGAGTCCGCAATCGTACATCCCAATACCTGATCTTTCCAAGACAAGATGTGCTCATATTTGCAAATACCAAACACATATCGTGTGACATTATTAAACATAACATCAATTTTACGAGCAGACACACTGTCATGTTTGCTGTATACGACTTCAGAGTAAATGATAACGGGAAGTATAATTTGTATAGCAAGTCGGCGTCTAGTAGTAGTGGGGTTATAGATAGCTGTCTGCCTCAGTTTCCTCAGAATGAGATAGACTTTACTAATAATGGAGTATACATGATCCGTGCATATAAGATTAGAGTTAATAATGTATCCTAAGTGTTTAATCTTGCTGACTAATTTTAAGGGACAATTGTCTACGAAAATTGGGGACAAAAAATCATGATTTTTCAGTTTTCTAGAACTGATTGGCAGCACACAGCACTTGTTTTTATTTAAAATTAGACCGCTGGCAGCCGCATAACTAGAGATATCAGCCAAGTCAGTCGTAATGCGTTTACATAGCTCTTTAGCTTGATCAAAAGGTGCAGATAACCATGCAGGCTTGAAAATTTGCACACACTGAAGATATCATTAATAAATATGCCGAAAAGCAGCTGACCAAGGATGGAGTCCTGGGGCACCACTGAAGTAACTGGCCTGAGTTGCGATGTGTCCTCCCCAGTTTTAACTAACTGAAACCTGTCAGCAAGGTAGCTTTTCACAAGCTTTAAAGCACTACAACTAAGACCATACTACGCTTTCAACTTACAGCTTAATAACTCATGGTTGACCATATCGAATGCTTTTGAAAAGTCAAGTAAGCAAAGCAGTGTGAATTTATTTTGGCTCATGTTGGATCGAATGTCATCAGTGATCTTTAGTACCGCGGTACAAGAGCTGTTATTTTTCTTGAAGTCTGATTAAAACGGAGATATTAAGTTCTGCTTGCTTGCAAATTCGTCTATTTGTTTAGCCAAAAGCATCTCAAAAAGTTTAGACAATACAGGGAGGATGCATAAGACGTACCAGCCTTCTTTTTAGTAACAGGTAGTACAGTGCCAATTTTCCATTGCTCTGGGAAACACGACGTGGTTGATTAATAACGTGCGTTAGTGTCCCAAGAATGGAAGGTAATATAATTTTAAAAAAATTTAATTGGTACGAGATTTTAAATATAAACATTGCAACATCACATTCACTAACAGCTGAAAATAGAAAACAAGCAACCCTAAACAAAAGATCATCCTTCGATATAAAGTTAATAGTGTCACTCCGAAGTACACAGTTTATTGGGAAAGTCAAAAAAAGTTTTTGACAATTTTTGTTTTTGCACTCTTTTCTCTTATTTAGTCTTTAATAAAAGTGAGTCAACTGTTTTCAAAAACTAACTACAAGCACTACTGAAATATAGTAAAAATATCTACCGTAAAAAGTGTCTGTGTTCGTCCCTGTACTGAAATGACATGATTACTTAAATGCAGTTAAAAACGAATTAAAATTTATCTTGAATTTGAAACGTCTTTATATCATTGTAAGCATTGAATTTTCACTTATATTCATGAATCCTGAGATCACGAAACAACAAAATTTTGCGAAAATATGCCCATATCTAGCATACCCACATACATGACTGTAGCTCATACGCCCTGTTGTACTTGAAAGTTGCTGCGTCGGCTGTGGTGAAAAATGAAGTCTAAATATAGTGATGGATACTTCCGTTCAAAGAATACCTAATGAGTATTAACCTGTGTAAAAAACGAGCGGTTAGATATATGAAATAGTGAAGAAAGAAATAGCTAATTTTAAGCGTCAATGAATAATTTAATTAATATTTCTTTGGACGGAAATATGCCTTGATTGGCATATAACCAAAAGTTATTGCACGCTTAATTATAGTAAACGCACATTTTTGCTTATAAGTAACTAAGTACAACATATAACGTCAAACTATGTAGTATATACATACATATGTATTGTATTCTATATATAGGTACTCACTTTTATTTGCAATGGACTGTCTGTCAAATTCTTCCTTACTCCGATTTTGTCGATCGTTGGCGTGAATGTTCAGAATTTAGTTTGCTGCTTTATTGTTCTCTCAATAATGGTTCGCAGATCGTTTTTAGCTATGAAGAAACGTTGTGTTGCATATAAATGTACGGTTTGATAGTTGAAAATTTCAAATTGCATAAATATAGTTATATAATTGTTATGTAATATTATGTTTGTATTATGCTTTATTATTATTTTACAGGCCTACTCTCACTGTTACCGGTAAATTAAATTTTGTTATTTTCTTTAACAACCAAAATTGAATTTGGTATTCTGGCGAACTGATTACAATGAAAACAAAATTTGGCAGCACTGCTTTTTTCGTCCATGTCAAATTATATTTTCCAGTTGATAAAGTAAAAAGAAAAATATTCACATCGAAATCGAAGACGGTGCACAAAAATGTTAAAAAGTTTTATTAATTTGTTTATTAAATCATAAATATTTGGACCAAATTATGGAAAATATGCCTGGACAACAAAAACAGCTGTATAAAAAAGATATCTTACAAATTAAAGCGCTATTTTTTAGTCTCGAAAACATCTTAAAATACGGCTTTTTGCATTTTTTTCTTCATCTTCAAAGAATTCCAGGCCTAAAATATGCCCACCCATTTTGGTTCTTTATTTTTTCTCAAACTTACAACCCAAAATCAAACAGCAGATATTTTTGTTACCTCCTATTTCGCTGGTAACAAAATTTGCAGGGTAACAGTGAGCTCAGAATACGAAATGGTAACAAAATTTACTGAATGGTAAATTTTAATACCTAGGGAAATTTTGTTACCTCGACAGAATAGGCCTGTTAAGGCATTGTACGAGTATTTTAACAAGGTTTATAGACCACAAGATTACAACGAGAGCGAATTCATATTGTTACGATTTTGCAGAATCAACCTCGATGATTTTCTGAATCCTTCGGGTACGATCTCTGGATAGTTAAATAAAAATCGCCAACTTAATTTGCAGTTTCTTTCGTTCTAAAGAATTTATCTAATGTCCTTTATTTACTCAGTAATACACAATTCAATTACAATGCACTTTACTAGCTACAATCACTTGCATAAACTTTCACAATTTACTTTACTTAAATGTAATCTCCAACGCGTTCACTTTACGACTTTACTGATGTTATCGCCAATGACTTCACTTTGTAACTCACTTAACTTGGCAGCTGAGTGTCGCCCTTATATAGCAGTCGGCTGCTCGTAGACGAAAGTGTAGAATAATCGAGTTGCTCGATATCGAAGGTTCTCGTTTTATCGCTCTAGAATGTACTTGTTGTTGGCTTCTCTCTTTCGTGTGACATTTCTTAATTTTACCCATGAAAAAACTTAACATTTTGACTGTAAAACTCTAAGCCCTTGCATAAAATTTAAAAAAAAAATTAGTTTTATGTCGAAGAAATGTATTTTAATATCCAAAAAAAAATTTTTTATTATTAAAATTAACATTATTTTTTTAAGCAAAATATTATATAGCCAGGAACTCTAACTTTTATGTCATGTAATACGAAGGGCATGAGAAGATAATGTCAAAATCGTGCAAAATTATCAAAACTCCAAGCGAACGCGCTTTATTATAATATATTTAATATAAAAAGAGATTTTCACATATTTTCTTTTTCTGTTGAAAAGTTTTTGGGGAATGGGTAAGGTTATCATGTGAAAAAATCGTGTTTAAAAATTCGATGCGGTGAAAAAGTGTGCAGTGGGTTATTGTTGGCAAAAATTAAAAAAAAAATAACTTGTGTAGGTGATACATATTAATATATAGGTTGTCAAATATCTTCCTTCCGCTTTTTTGCTCTTCATTCAATGCTTTATAAAAAGTGTTACAGTGATCGGATTTAGTTAAAATATGCGCCGTTTTGTTCGATGCTCTGTTTCCATCTAGACGGCAACTTCATAATACCTTCCTCGTAGAAGCCCCCTCTTTATTTGCGAAGAATTCGGACAGCCACTTTTCACAAGCCTCTTTTGAGTTCAACTTCACACCACCAAGGGCATTCGCCATGGACAGGAACAGGTGGTAATCACTTGGCGCTACGTCCGGGCTATATGGTGGATGCGATAAAACCTCCCATCCGAGCTCCCGTAGCTTCTGACGAGTCATCAACGAAGTGTGTGGTCTGGCGTTGTCCTGGTGGAACACTACACCCTTCCTGTTGGCCAATTCTGGACGCTTCTGGTCGATCGCCTGCTTCAAGCGGTCCAGTTGTTCGCAGTAGATGGTAGAATTAAGCGTCTGGCCATATGGGAGCAGCTCATAGTGGATGATTCCCTTCCAATCCCACCAAACACACAGCAAAACCTTCCTGGCCGTCAATCCCGGCTTGGCCACTGTTTGGGACGATTCACCGGCCTTCGACAACGACCGTTTTCGCTTGATATTGTCGTATGTGATCCCTTTTTCGTCGCCAGTCACCATCCGGTTCAAGAATGGGTCGAGCTCGTTCCGTTTCAGCAGCATATTGCAGGCGTTGATTCGGTCCAGAAGGTTTTTTTGCGTCAAATTATGCGGCACCCAAACATTAAACTTTTTTTTTGTATCCAGCCTTCTGCAGATGGTTCAAAATGGTTTGGTGACTAACTCCCATCTCCTGGGCGATGTCACGAGATGCCATATGCCGGTCTAACTCGATGTATTCCATGATTTGATTGGTATTTGTCGTCACAGGTCTTCCGCCGGCTTTCTTATCCATGGTGTCGTTTTCACCGGCTCTGAATCGTCGAAACCATTCCTCCGCGGTTCGAAGTGATAGAGTACCATCCCCCAAAACACCATTAATCTCACGGAACGTTTCTCTAGCGGATTTGCCTTTTACGAAGGAAAACTTTAAAATAGCGCGAATTTCGGCGTTAGTGAACTCCATGGTTACACGTCTATAACTATTGAACGTAGGTTATGTCAATACCTTTCAAATTATGTATAGTGTTGCCAGATACGAGTTCTGTAGCGCTTTGTACATAGCCGCGAAATTCAAAAGACCAAAACGCGTAAGGGAGATATTTGACAACCAATATATATTTATATATCAAGTCTCGCCCACTGTATGTACTTTAAGCGCCTCAAACAGTCCGACACTTTCAAAACATCGATTTTTTGAAAATCTTCGATAGTGAATTCTTCGAAGCAACGTGACATCAGTCATGTAAGTTTAAGTGGAAGTTTTTTCTAATGCTTTTTACTCGAAACAGCGTTTCCGAAACTCGCTGGTATTGTAACTCAGAAACTAATCATTCTATCGACTTAAGAATTTTCTGATCGTATTCAGCATTATTTCAGCCATGAAGTGGCCCTCGGATATTGAAATTGAAATTGTAAATTTGGCATGGAAAATACCGTTAGATTTTTAAGCTAATTTTTTAACTTTTGTTTTCAGACGACGACATTTTTTTGGCTTTCATTATTTTACCTCAATCGTGAGTCACTTATATTGTAGTTCATATAATCCTCATTAACGCCTTTTTTCCTTTCAGTTACCCTCAAGACCGCAAAATGAAAACTTGTTTTTATGGACCTCCGCCTGATAGCGTATATGTCATCGAGAATGCAAGATTTATATTTCAAAAATATATGCTAAGATAACTCACTTATAGACAAATGTACCCCAGATACTGTCAACATTCAATTGAGAAGTTTTAAAAAAAAAAAAATTCAAAATCACCTCACTTTTGCTGCCTCACTGGTTAAGCCTCTTTACAGCTGTAATCGTATACATTTCTTCCTATAATTCTTGATTTGTTTACTTTTGCTAACACATTAATACATATTGACTCTTATTGAGTATGTCGAAATGCTATCACGATGCTTTGTAAATTGTTCACTTGCATTTGTTACAAGAATTGTTGAATTGTTTTCAGACAGCTGCGCTGATGAATCAGCGTGTGGGGAATGTTAAGTGGGTGGCTTGTGTATTATCGCACGCTCTTCTTTCGTAATTGAAGAAATTCTCGTTACGAGTAGTAAGAATAAAACGAATACGATCGTGTTCATTTATTTTCTTACATACATATATTGATTTAGGAATATCTACTAAAACCGCAAGTTATGAACGGAAGAGAGTGTTTTTAATTTTTACTGCTGATACAGGGTCGTACAAGAGCATCAAACATTGACGATTCATACAAAAATATATAGTATGTAACTACAACCATAATGAGGTGTGTTCAAAAAATATCGCGAATTTTGTGTTTTTTCAAAAATTATTTATTTATTCATGAATATCTATTTTGGTCCCTTCAAAGTAATCCCCATGAGAAGCACTTCGAAGCACTTCAAAAAATCATGTTTTTTTTTTTATCTTGTTCAGCTCCTCCTCCGATGCCGTCTTTATCTCGTCAATCGTAGCGTAACGTCCTCTTTCCATGGACCTCTTCAGTTTAGGGAACAAGAAAAAGTCACAGGGATCCAGATCTGGAAAATACGGTGGCTGCGGCATCATTAGTGTGTTGTTTTTGGCCAAAAAGTCGCGCACAAGCAACGATGTGTGAGCAGGGGCGTTATAGTGGTGCAAAAGCCAATTTTTGTTCTTCCACAAATCCGGGCGTTTCTGGCGGATTGCTTCGCGCAAATTGCGCATAACTTACAGGTAATATTCCTTAATGACCGTTCTACCCTGTGGCAATACCCTTTTCTCCACTTCATTAATTTTTTCGTCTGTTCTTGAAGTGCTCGGGCGTCCGGCACGCTCTTCGTCGTTCACATCTTCTCGGCCTTCTGAGAACATTTTGTACCACCGATAAACGTTGCTTCGGTCCAAGGTAGCTTCTCCGTATGCCACAGTCAACATGCGAAATGCATCCGCGCACTAAATTTCGTTTTTCACACAAAATTTAATACAGATTCTTTGATCCATTTTTTTGAATCGGTAAAAATCGAAGACCATCCAAAACACGTGTAAGCAAAGCAGCTGTCAACCATTAAGTGAACATTCAAAATGGCCAAGCTTGTCGGCATAAGTGACAGGCATGAGTACCAACATAACGCCATAAAAAAATCGAAATTCGATTATACGTAACCTGCGAAAATTCAAAATTCGCAATACTTTTTGAACACACCGATGTAAGAAA